CAAGATTATGCCAAAATTTCACGTTTTCCCTCCCGTTTTTGCTCATTTCTCGGAGGCAAAATAAGCAAGAACGCTGATGACCCCACCCCCCCTGGATCCGCCCTTGACCACAAGTGACTATGCAGATATCCAGCTTACAGCAGTAGATAGAAGACAGAATATTATATATTCCAGTTCGCCATTTAGTTTGGCGAAAGCAGCCAACTTTATGGACAGTTTATCGAATGCTCCATCGCATGAGCGCGAAATTTAATTCTCCGCCACTAGATAAAAGTCGATTAATGCGTGGAACTGGCAAATGACGCATCGAAACGAACAAATTTCAAAATAATGCTAATAAGCTTGTTGACCGACTATCTTGGGACTTTACTCGACTGAAGTGCATCATTTGCGATCGGCTGTTTGATGACCAATCAGCTAATGCAAATCCAGTGGCCTGATTCGACGTCACACGACGTGGCTCCAATCGATAGGAGCGGGTTGGGTGTTGCCACATTGCCAACTGTAGGGGTTGCGGAATATAAACAATTTGCGGCACCCCAATGATGACGCCATTAATGACCTAATGGTTCCTTGGGCATTAGGTACCGTACCAATGACTCAACGTCGTCATCAATGACCTGCTAATTTTCACATTGCGCGTTTGTCCGCTCTTGTCGCCAGTGGTGGGCCGGAGTTTATGGAGGAAAAACTCCACAATTAGCCTCAATTTTCCTATGGGGGTTGCAAGGAGTTTGCCCCCTGTGGTATTCACTAGGGGGCGGAATGTGGGAAGCCTGGCTGGGGCAGGAACCTGGGAAAAATGCGCAATAAGTAGGCGGACGAGCCGACACTGGAATATTTCCATTCCACTTAGGGCATGGCCTGTTGTGGTGCAGTTCCAAGCTCGTCATTTTCATTGAAGCCTACTAAAGTATACAGGCCGGGTCGTCGTCCGAAGGGGGTTTCTAGACAGAAAGTGCCAACGTATTGTAGTGTGCCGTACGATCGTTTTAATCAGTTTGTGGTGACTAGTGGGACAATTTCCTTCCGTAGCCTAAACAGGACGTTCTCAATGCTAGGTAAGCCCCATACGGCGTTTGAGCACGTTAGTGAGGTTAGAAAGGGGGGGTTACATCACTGAAAGTGCCCACATCATCAGCCTGCTTGCAATTGCAGACATACAAGCCAACGCGATTGCAGAACCGAACTACATCGGCCACGCAATGTCCAGGAAAAGAACCCGCAGCCATTCGGAGGCCGATTCCATCATTGCCACCCTTACCATTCCGCATCATGTCCAGCCGATTACAGCGGTAAGTCCCACATTGGGGGGTCAGCGGCCAGATGGGGGGCCACGTCAAACGCGTTGCCATGCCATTTGCGCCCCCTTAAACTTTCGACTTTCACGTTCTGACGCAAAAATCGGTCGATTTGGTTCATTCTGGTGCTTAACTGGCAAGTTTGTGCTGTTAGTGTTGTTTGCCTTTACTTGCTTTGTTTATGTAGAATAGGTAAGTAAACCGAAGCTGTTTCATATGCACTTGATCAGTCCCCATGTGAAATCCTATGTTTTTAAATGGGCAAGCACAGATGGACCGGAATGGGAATAACATCAGCTAATTAACCTATAGTAGGCCTTCGACTGGTAGGTTGGAGGTTATGCACTTATTGCATTGGGGTCTCTAGCGAAGCCCTAGCGGTTTTATCGCCTTGCCATAATGGCCGAAAAATCGCAGTTATGTTTGCGTTTTTTGAGCTCTGAATAGTTCTCATCCCAGGAAGTTCGGTAATTTTCAAGAACATCAGGCTCCGCTGTGCGCTATTAACAATGTGCTCATCTTATAGAAAATCCCTGCTCCAACCACTTTTCTTAGTGGACTTTTTCGTGAAAGTGCAGTTTTCCATCACTTATTACTGCTAAAATTACAGTACTTCTATACAACGCGAGCTTCTACCAGCATTATTGTTTTCGCAATCAAAACTGTGCTCACCTTATACAAAATCTCATAACAAACAACATTTTTCCTAAAGATTTTTCGAGAAAATGCCCTTTTCCACCACTTTTCACGCTCTGAATTTCGGCAATTTCCAATACAAAACGTCATGGTGGTTCCGGTCTCTGCGACGGCGCGTCATTCAAAAATTTTCGCGCATTTCCAGTTCCATAATTTTTTTGTGCTTAAACACATTCTCTATTTGTTTTTGGACTTGGCTTGCGATTCGTTTAATACCAAAGCGAACTATGACACTTATAAGTTCTCTATTTGTCTACTAATTTTCGGTTTAAATAACATACATTTCTGGACAAAGGGCGGTGTACTTATTGCTTTGATTGAGATTTGCTACTTTTGTGGCAGTTTGGCAGCATGGCTTGACAGTATCGATTTTGGTACCGCCTAGGAAGCGTTGCCGAGTGTTTGGGGTCATGAGAGGTCAGATGCGCCACGCTTTATAAAGAATTACGCTAAAACTACTGTTTTTTTTAGATGTCAATTAAATTGACATCTGCACCTGCGCACTTGATCTTCAGTAAGGCCTGCCACTAATAAGGTTTCTGCCTGCCGTTATTTGTGCTAGGCCTGGGTAACACTGTGTTGAGTTGCGCTATTGAGTTGTTGCCGCTCTCTGAGTTAACTAGTTATAACTCATCGCTTCATGAGTTATAAGTGATTTATTAAAGCTTTACGAGACACGAGACTGGAACTCTCACATCTAAAAAAGGATTATTAACATTTTTTCTGAGTAACGTTTTACTACTTTGTTCAAACCACTAGAAAAAGTAATCTA